TGCCTTCGCATGGCATTTCGTTTGCCTACGTCTCTAAACCCAAACTAGGTGATTTCATAGAGAACTAGTTGCCTCGATTGATTGGTTTATGGAAACAAAACTTCTTTCCCCTTCTCCTTGTCTTCATCTAGCCTATATAGATATGTCTTTTTCAGAATGGAAATAGTTTATTTTTTCATGATTACCAAAATTCATACATTCTCATTATAACAAAAAAAATCTGTAAAGAAGTCTTTACACTGGGTTTCTAGCACTTAACATAGTGCTGGTAAACACTGAATTGTGTTGAGTGAAGAAAAAAAGAGTCATGCATAATTGTGCTTTCTATTTGTACATATATAATAAAAACAGGATTAGATATTTATTTTTCTCTTACCAGATTCCTTAAACAAACACAGCAAAACAGATTCAAATAAGAAGTAGCCCATTCAAGGAAGTCACCTGGGGAGACGATATTCTTATTTCGATGATGTTACTGTTGCTAATACACGTATGGAATTGTCTTCCAAGATTGCTGCTAATTATTTTATTCTCAGTATGAACAAATATTCTTCCTTTGATGGATTTTATTTGGAACAGGAATATCATTGGAATAATGGTGAAAAAGGTGGGGGTTACTGTTTTGGATAAAAAGCAAGATGTGAATATAAAACAATGAGATTGACATTTGCCATACATCTGCTCATAAATTGCTTTGAAGATTAGCCCCCACAAGGAGTCCCAAAATGTTTCTTGCAGGAGTATCACAGGAAGCAGTGCCTATCCTCTGAGGGGACCACTTAGAACGTGATTTGCATCTGAATGTAAAAATTCCAGTAGGTGGCATTTAAAAGACAATCAGATTGGTTTATAGTAATATTTTTGTACAATATCAGACTCTTACAGAAAACTGTAGTTGTAGAGAATTTAGCTTAATAAGATTGTTTGTTTTTGTTTTTAAGTAAACCTTTTTAGGTCTTCCATGATCTGGGCTGGAGGCGATCAAGGAGTTTCTTCTCTGCTGCAAGGAGCTTTCTCCCAGTAGCCGCTTTGAATTTGTGCATTATTGCTTTGCTTCTCAATGTCTGTCTTTAATTTTCTGGTACTTAGTAACAATTCACAAGAGGAGTGAGCCTCTCGTGTACTTCTGCACTTCCTACGACACATATTATTGGAGCGGAAATTCATCCTGGCTTCACTTGAGGGGGCATAAATGTCTCCGGGGGGCCAGGTCGGTCACATACCCTGAGTGAAGAGGCTGTCTGTAAGAACAGTGCCTGCCTGATGACAAAAGGTGAATGACTGGCAGCCTCAGTGCTGGAAGGCAATTGGGAATAGTGGGGACTGGGGAAGTCAAGGGACACATCCCCATGCAAAGGAGGCTAACTTTTACCCCAGGGGAGTGAACTCAAGGTTATTAAAACTTCTGATCTTTCCTTTTGATAAGCTGGAAATCTGGGTTTTTATCTTACTTCCCTTGATTTTTAAATGTCAACCAATAATTCAAACACACCAGAGAGGCAGGGGAGCATGATGGTCAAGAACTTGCATTCTGGAGCCAAACTGCTTGGGTTCAAATTCCACCTCTGCCATTGATTAACTGTGCCACTTTAGGCAAGTTACTCAACCTCTCTGGGCCTTCATTTCCTCATCTGTAAAATGAGGATGGTCATGTAGTACCAATCTCATAGGTCTGATGTGAAGATAAAATGAGCTGATATATGTAAAACATATATATGCCTGGTCTATAGTTAGTGCTACAGAAATGTTGGTTTTTGTTCTTTAAAATGAGAAGTCATTGTGTGGGTTAAATAAAACACATCTGCAGGCTGAATTCAGGTCATAGGTTTCCAATTTGGGCATTATGGTCTAGAAACAGGAAAGAAACCTTTTGGTAAACTAAGACCCTTTGTATAAAATTATACTCACTATCTCAGCATACTCCAAAGCACATCACGAGTTTACAATAGGCTGTAAAAGTCAATCTGCCCCTTAGTAACTCTCCAATTTTCTGATGAACACGGTAGTCACTCAGCTGATCCACGGCAGGGGTTGGGGGAGGGGTTGTGCGGCTTTCCATTTCACCTGGGCAGGGCTCTGGAGGTATGGCAGGCTGAGTTGTTAACACGTTAACATATTGAATGAGATACCGCCATACTGATCCATGAACGGATGCTTTCCTCACCAATCCCATCCATGACTGGGCTAGCCCAGCCACCCCAGCCTCTCCCCCAGTGACCCCTGGCCCTCAGACTCAACTCCATGACATATGTCCTGATTGCTTAGTGTCCACTCCATACCGCTTGTTAAATATCTTGTTTATCACCTCTGCACTTAGGTGCAGCGAACCAAGTAAGTTGCAGATTCAACCATTGAAAGGTTTGTCTTCTTAAAACCTGTTATGTAACCTCTTTGAGCCTTAGTTTTCTTATCTGTAAGATGGGGATAATATTAGTAACTATCTCTTGTTATGATAATGAGAGAATTCACATAAAGTGTTTAGCAGTGCCTGAAACACGCCAACCCCCTCTCCATAAATGCTGTCAGTGGTACTAATTTAGGTATTATTCCACCAGCTGAAGGTCATGCCTTGAATGCCCGGTAGCCTCAGGAAGGCTTAATCTCATTCAGATGGGCTCGCTAGTCAAGGCCTATGATTTATAGTTATATATGTAACTACATCTATAACTATTTGTAAAATCATATTTTATTTATTATTGTAAATTACAGAAGCATAGAAACACATTATAATTTGGACAATGAGGAAAATGGGGGGGAAATCTAACATCTCACCAATCTAGAACACCAGCTTCTAAATAGCATATTTAAATAGGATTATGTAAGAAGAAATTTTCAAGTGAATCAAGTACAGTTTGACACCTTTCTGTCATCGGGCCAGACTAACAGCTCCCTGAGGGCAGGGGCATGTCCATCTTGGTTACTGCTCTAGCCCCAGCACCTGCAGAGTACATGGCTATGACGGGCACTCAATAATTATTTACTCAATGAATGCACAAATGCTGAATGAATGAATGAATGAATGAATGAATGAAGACGGAGGAGAAAGCAGGCACAGAACATTAGAGCCCAGGGGAGACCCAGGCTTGGTGTTTGCTAACCAGGAGTTGGCTGGCAGTTACCATGGATCAGAATTCAGTTTCTGAGAAGGTAGAGTGGGGAAGAAAGATGGGGAGTCAAGTGTACATGGGAATAGAACATGGGAATGTGTACATGGGAATAGAACAAAATAGAATCTCAATGTCCAATGAGAAAACGTCCTCAGCACTGAGGTGGAAACTTGGAAATGAGTGCTCCTGCTTGGCTTGCTTTTTTTAGAGGCCCCCCCTAGCCCCACCCCTGCCCAGGCATCTGCTGGTCTTGGAGTGTGGTGGGTCTGATTCCGCAGGCAGTTACACCCCTACTGGGTCAGGTGGGAAACAGACCAAGACCACCGCCGATTGTCCATAAAATACAACCCAATCCTTGGCACCTTATTATATAAATGAATGAATACACGAATGAATGAATGAACGAATGAATGAATGAATGAACAAACGAAAGCAGGCAACAGCTGTTCCATAAATCTGTGTTGCATGAATGAGTTCTCTCTGTCCACTTTTTCCTGAAAAGGCAGGTATCCCTCACATGCAGCAGAACACCCTGACTACATCTTAATCAGCTTTTCAAACTGTTTTCAGAAGTCAAGGTCACCCTCTTACTTGTTAACTGGGCTTTTATATAACAGGCTTCAATCACCTGGGGCAACCGCCAGAAAAGCTCTCTATTGTGAGGAACACATCCAGAGAGCACAAGCCATATTTTGCTTTACATACTTAAGTGAAGAATTGGTCCCTGGCTGAACATAATGGAAGTCATTTGTTCTGGAAAAAGCAATTCACAAAAAGATATCACCTAAAAATCTAGAGCAGTCCACTCAGAACTCTCTTCTCGGCTGGGCTGTGAAAGATTCTTGGGCTTAAGGGCTATTTTTCTGGGGGTAAGGAGTGTTTTAATTTCCCATAATGGCCTCGTCTAGGAAGTCAGTCTATTCACTGTAACCATTTGCTCCTGCAGTGTGCTATTGGCCCCATCTGAGAAGTAACGGATGCTCTTTTTAGTGCCTGGCAGCCTCCGGTGAAACCAGTTTAGAAGTGGTTTCCACAATACCCAGCCAGAGTTAAAGGCATTTCAATCAGTGGGAAAGGTGGAAGGCAACTCCTTGCATTTCAGAGGCTGTCCTTGAGAAGACTCTCTCAAGCCTCCCATCAGAGATCTGGTAACATTTTCCCTATCATTCACCCATCTCGGCAGCTTGAGGCCAAGGGGAGCCATTTTGGTTTCCTATATAAGGACCAGGAAGAGGGGGAGGGGATTCCCCCAAAGCCACTCTCTTGTTTCATTTTGGCTTTTTTCTTCAGATTTAACCATGGAATTACTTCTCCCGGTTCGAACTGTGGTTTTCATAACTCAATCCTAAAACCAGAGAGCTCTGTGGCCTCAGGGTGGGCAGCAGACATTCTCGTAGCAGCTTCTGAGCCCTAGCGGGTAGAAGAGAGCAGAAGCGTGGGGAGGGGAAAATTCCAGCCTTGACTAGAGTGGGGATACAACTTTTCTCACATCCCTCAAGAGTGAGTTTCTCCAGGCACATCTCTGGCCAAATCGCGGGAGCCGAACCCAAACCCTTGCTTTGTTGTGGGAAGCAGAGATTTGGCCACTTTCAGCTTTTGTTCAAAGGCTCCTAAAAGGGAGCCGCCCTATCCCACCCGGGGCCTTCAGGGAAGCTGTGCCCTCCCCAGAAATGACAAATGGAAAAGACAGAACGGACTCCAGCCAGGCCAGGATACAGTCTCTGGAAAGAGGTTGTTTTTGTCTCCAATGCCATAGAAAACACATCCTCTTAACTTATTAAGTAGGGAAACAACACAATCACACACGCTGGAGGTTACCAAGGTGAACCGAATCCAAGATTAAAATCTGCCAGCCCAGTGGTGCATGGAAGCATGGAAGGCCCAAAGAGGAAATCTAGTTCACTGTTGGTAAATTTTTTTGGATGCTGTTTATGTTTGAACTTTTCTCTGTTTTCCTGTAGAAACTTCCGTACCCTCTTCCTGTGTCCCTACAAAAGGCCTGGACAATGCAGTCCCAGCACCACCGTAGGACATGGGCAGGGCCCCACCTTCCTCCTTCCTGCAGGGATATCCTTTCCTATAGAAGGGGTAAGAATGTAAGGTTCATGTGAAAATGTTATTATATTCCTTATCTCAGTCATTTCGTGATTTGCTGTTTGGCCACAATAAGTCAGCCTGGCCACATTCACAGTAGAGGTGGCCCCAGTTCCTAGTTTTGGCTTGTGCTGTTTTCTCAGCTGAAGAGGGCAAACGGCTGTTAAAAATGCTGCTTGTTTTCCAGGATCTTATCAAGAGTTCATGTCTAAGGCCAGAAAGAGAAGGGAGGGCTCCATTTTTTTTTCTCTCTCCTCATTGTTTCCAACTGATTTGGCAGGAAATGGGAGTCCTCTACCTGTCCCTCTTGGGAGTAAAATTGATTTGATTCCATTTTTCAGATGTATCCGCCACCGCCAGGAGTTGGGGACATTTCTGCTCACCCTAAAGCAAATGTGTCCTGATTTACACAAATGACATCTTTCAAAATTGGAAATGAGTCAAATTTAAACGGGGAGCTGGGGATTGGTGATTGCCGAAAACTGCCTCAGAGAATCTCAGTTTTGTTTTATCTTCTAATCCACCCCTTTGTAAAGTGCCTTTGGGGGCTGTGGACTTTGGCTGACTTCAACAAATGTGTGTGTGTTTGTGTGTAGTATCCTTGGCGTAGACATTCAGAGAATCGAAGTCCTTCACACAGAGTTTCACATGAATCAGGACAGCTCACATTAACACCTGCCTGGGAGCATATGTTACAGATGAGCAATGCAGAACTCAGGAGAAGGTAAGTCAGTTCCTCAAGGATCCTAGTGTGTCTATGGTCGACCCAGGATTTCCCATTTAACCGAGTTCAGCCAATTCAGTCAATTTGGACAAGAATCAAGGTCCATCTAGATGCTTCATTTCATATAAAATCAACCTCAGATGATTTTATTTTGAGGGGCTTGGTTGTGTTAGTGTCTATAGATAAAGTTGAAACATAGGAATTCTAGAAACCACAGTATTCCATAAACAGAAGGATCTTCCCTTTCAATGTCAGCACTTCACTTTGGAGGTAAGACACAGAGCCTGGACAGCTACTGGATGGAATCATGGAACAAGCCAGTCTTAACCATCCCCAGGAGCACAAGAACTAGAAAAAGCTATTTGATTCTGCTCTACGGGGTTTTGGTTTTCCCAGGCCACATCATCCTCAACAGAGGACCCTGCCTCTGGTGGAAGAGGCTCTGCCCCCACCCGGTCTTAGCGTGGAACTTCCAGCTCCTCACACACCCTGCTCGTGCTGACAGTTGTTTGTGGCTCTTCTGCCATGTGAGGATATTGGCCATCAGGGAGAAACCCTCCAGACTCTTTCCTCCTGTGGGTCCTAGGTGGCCCACAGAGTGGCCGCTGCCCCCAGACCTGCCTGCCCCTCCACCCCCTTGGCTGTGTGATCAGAGCTGTACTCACCCCCTGTGCTCATCCTAGGGTACCCAACTGCTGTTTCAGATACAGAAGTCCGATAGATCTGCCAAGAGCCACCCCAGATAGTTTTTCCACCCAAGTACAACAACCAACTTTAGATTGGCCTCTATGGGATTACATTTGTGGGAGAAAAATATTTGACATCCTTGTATTGTATTAACCAATGCTTTCCCTCAATCCCAACATTTCCTTTCTCTCCTTGGTGCTTCCCCCATGTCCCTAACTCCCTTTGAAGCAGTTGGGCAATTCTGTGCTGACTGCCTCAGAGAAAGGATGTTACAATGGAAAACAGCCGGGAAAAGACTCTTCCTGACTTTTGAGTTTCAAAAGCATAGGCCATTAGGGAAATGGAAAAGACCCACAGAAAGGACAAAACATTTGGCAGCAATGTCATGAGTGAGAACAAAATGCCTCTCCAGCCCTACTCCCTGAGCTTCAAGAATTGGAGAGAGCCAGAAGGAAGAGAAAAAACTGATGAAGTCTGGGACAAGAGGGCCAGATCTGAAGGGGCCGCATGGACGTGAGCAGAAGCAACATCTGCAGACCACCCGTAATCCACTCACAGGACCCTTTGCATCACCCATGCCCACGGGCTAGACTGGTTGCCATCCGGTAAGGATTTCTCACTAACTGCTTAGCAGGAATAACAGCTGTCTGTGGCCCCAGCCTGGCGGTGATGTCACAGCTGGACTTATCCCATGTGACCAACCCCGAAAACAGTATCTCAGGGCACTTGTAGGCCCCTAACAAGGATGGTGGGGCCCTTGGGCACCTGGCAAGATTTTGCAGTGGGAGGAGAAGTCCCTGTGTCTACAATTAAAAGCTCAGATGATTAAAAGTTCAAGATTTTCACCTCTATCCAAGCTCTCCTAAGTATTGCTACCTCTGGCCTTCTCCAGGGAACCACATTGCTCTTGAATGTTGAGCATCTTTGAACTGTTTCCCGCAGAGCTGGTCCAGTGGTCTGTTTGGGTGATTCTACCCTGTGTTGCATTCCTAGCCTCTGACCAAAACCTGACCTTGATCTTGATCTTGGGTAATTGCCTGGTTCTCCAGGTTCTCATGCTTCTCACTGTAGAACCCTGCTCTCCCCAGCTCCCAAGCCAGGAGGGTTTGCACAACCTTATCTCTCCAACGACACTAGAGTGTCAGTTCCAACACGCAAACCACCCTCCTCCTCATGGGCTCATCTATCCCACCCCTAGAGATTTCCTAACTACAAAGATACTCATCCTGTGCCCCATCTTCTCTAAGATGGAGTGAGTTACAGATAAAATGGAGTCTTCAAGGCCATACCATAAGTACCGGTAGGTGGAGGTTGTGCTTGGGATGAGTCAAGGTATTAGGTCGATAGAACCAGGTTGAGCCGTGGCTGGTCTGGTTCCCTTCTCATAACTCTCTTTCCTCCCGTGTGATTAATGCCATTAGACCATCCCGAGGATAAACCCACTCTCCTCTTCACTTGAGGAAGCATAGTAGGGTGGCTCCAGACCCTAAGAAAGCCTTCTCCTTTAGTCTAGAGGTAAGATACCAAAGGTCACAAAGTGGGCCCAAGGGGCAAGTGGCAATAGCTGAGGTTTGAAACTAGAGAAGGAAGGGTACAGGGTCAGCAGGTAAGTCCTCAATGGGAAAGTTCTCGGATCATGTCTACACTGAAAGATGACAATGGAAAACGTAGAATGGAAGTGTCACTTCTGATTTATGGCACATACATATTTTCATCTTTGCATTTTCCCCTTGCCCTTCCCTGCTTCATAGAGGTGTTGTGAGGCTTAATGTTGATCTACAGATCTCAGATAAAAGTTATTACAGAAGTACAAGAATGAGCACCATCACTGACACGAATTAGCCTGAAGTCAAATAAGTATTAAGTAGATTTAAAAGTTAAAGGTATAGGAATGTTAGTGTATGTTTCAAAGGCTACCATCATCTGGGGACAAGAAATGTACCACAAAACGCAATCTTTTTCACAATGAAGCTATAAAAGCATTTGGAGTAAAAAAAAAAAAAAGTGGAGGGGTGCTTGGGTGGTTCAGTTGGTTAAGTGACTGCCTTCGGCTCAGGTCATGATCCTGGAGTCCCGGGATCGAGTCCCGCATCGGGCTCCCTGCTCAGCGGGGAGTCTGCTTCTCCCTCTGACCCTCCCCCTTCTCATGTGCTCTCTCTCATTCTCTCTCTCTCAAATAAATAAATAAAATCTTTAAAAAAAAAAAGTGGAAAGAAGCAAACATCAAGGGATTATTATGAGTGACTGTGAAAGCAGATGACTTAGCAAGAACAAAGCAGGTCTTCAACCAAGTGACAGCATGACTGATTTTTATGCAAGATTTTCAGACCAAGTTTGTTAAAGGAACTGTTGGCTCCATGAGTGTTCATCGTGGTGCCATTTCTCCGGATTGAATACTAGCTGAAATTAATGGGCATGGGTCTGGGGGGTGAAAAGTTCTTATTAAAATACAGAGATTTTTGTGGTAAATTATGGTAGCTAGGGGTTTGCGGTTGGGAGTGGGGAATGCTTTGGAGTATTTCTTCTACCAATTGCCCTAGCAATCATATCCATCTTAGGAGGTTCACTGCCTGACTTCTCATCTTTGGTGACTTTGGGGCAAGTTATGTAAGCCTTTTGTGCCTCAGTTTCCTCATTTGTAAAAAGGAAATAGTGAAAACCCTTTTAGGGTTGGTGTGAAGAAAAATGAGTTAACGTTGGGTTGTTATTGCAGCATAACTCAATCTCTCATGACTGATACAGGTATCCTTAGTGTGAAAATCTACTTGCACACTAAACAGTGAACTACAATAGTGAAAGTCCATCCTGACTACTGTCCCCAGGTAGATCTTTGTAAAATACCTCTTGTGTTATGAGATTCATCCTTTGGCCTGGTGTCAGATCCCACCTCCTTGGCTCTGCTCCTCTAATCTGACTTTCTGTCCCACAGCTTTAGTAAAGAAGTCTTCATTTCAAATTAGGCTGCACTCTTTGCCATGGACACTCAACAAGCCTTATTTATTCCTACCACCCGGAGTACTCACACCGTTTGCCTAACAAGAGCAGCAATGACTACGATTCTGCCTATTTCAATCCAATCCTTTGATTGTAATAGCTACTATCTCTCCAGATAGCAATGGAGAAATGACTGTGAAACTTTAGAACATGGTTATTGTGTTCATTATTATTAGCAAACATAGACTGACACGTAACATACAAGAGGGCCATTGCAAGGACCAATGACAAAAACATGAGATGGACTAAGGATTGCAGTGTGCAACTGTGGGCCTGGAACATCAGTATGGAGATCCTCTATGGGCCAGTGTCACACCCAGGACTTTATCCTGTAGCTACACTATCACAAGTGTACAAAATTGCACTTCTGAGATATTCACTGCACAGTGTTTATCATGGTGAGAAACTGGGAAAACCTCAGTGGCCACCAATATGACATTGATTAAATAATTATCATAGACCATGAACGGATATGCTGGGCAGGTACTAAAAGGACTGAAGTGGAAGGGTATGTATTGACACAGACAGATAAGCATGATATGTGGTCGTGTAAACAAAGCAACTTGAAGAACAGTATATGTGGTATGATCTTATGTTGCTAAATATATTTTATGTTCATAAAGTCTCTGGAAAGGATATTCATTAAGCCAATAGCAGTGGCTAAGTCTGTGGGGTAAGACTGCTGGGGTGGAGTGAGGGACTCACTTTTTACTATATTCCTGGATCTCTAACAAGAAGCCTTTATTACTTTTGTGACAATAGTTATAATACTATCGTTTATTGAGCAGGCTGCCACTAAGTTCATCTGATAGTCCTCCTGATAAAACATCATGAAGAAGTATTTTTATTATCCTTACCCAATGGACAAGAAAACGGAAGGACAAAGAAGTGAAGGAAACTGCCCAGAGATGGTAAGTGTCAAAATCAGGATTTGAACCCACGGGGTTCAGCTACATGTTGTGTGCTCTTAATTGCTGCCCTACAATCAAAATAAATATTAACGATTTGGGGGACACCTGGGTGGCTAAGTCTGTGGAGCATCCAGCTCTTGGTTTCCGTTCAGGTCATGATCCCTGGGTCATGAGATAGAGCCCTGCGTCAGGCTCCGCGATCAGTGGGCAGTCTGCTTGAGAGTCTATCTCTTTCTCTCGCTCTATCTCTGCCCCTCCCCCCACTCACGCTCGCAAGCTCGTGCACTCTTTCTCTCAAATAAATAAATAAGTAAATCTTTAAAAAAATAAGTAATAACAATTATTTAAGCCTGTTCTCCCTTCAGGGGAATTCTCACTTCTGTGATGCCGCCTCTGATGACATCAGGCTGTTCGTTCATTCAACAAATATTTAGTAAATATAAGGTCAAAGGGCTTATTTGGGATACTGCAAAGTATACAAGTCAAAGCAGTCACAAGCCTTGCCATGCAAGAGCTGATGAGGAAGATAAAGAGAGCTTGAAACCTGGGACACGGAGTGTTGTGATACTGTGACGAGGTTCTATGAATCCGGAGCAAACGGGAGGCACTTCCAACTCCGGGAAGCCGAGTCAAGCCTGAAGACCAAAGAGCTTCACGGAGAGCCACTCATTTGTTTGGCTGGAGAGAAGGGGAGGAACAGATGAGGCTGCAGGCTGCAGAGGTGGGGCAAGAGGACACCCTGCTGAGGGCTGTGGGCTCTATTTGGTCGGAAACGAGATCCCATGAGAAAATTTTCATTAGGCCAGTGATAGGGTCAGAAGAGCAACCTAATGATACCAGTGAGTATTTATTAAGTGCTAGACAGGATGCTAAGTATTTTTACATAGTCTCCCTCATTTCATCTTCAAAACAACCTTGAGAGGAAGATATTGATACTTTCCCAACTTTACAGGGAGCTGAACTAACAGGCTCGTTGGGCAGCACAGCTGGGAAATAAGCCCAAGCAGTCTGGGTCTGAAGTCTGTGTCTTTAACCACTTTCTTTCTTTCTTTTAAGATCTATTTCTTTATTTTAGAGACAGAGAGAGAGAGAGAGAGAGAGCAGGGGGAGGGGCAGCGGGAGAAGGAGAGAGAATCTCAAGCAGACTCCCCACTGAGCATGGACCCAGTGCAGGACTCGAGCTCACAACCCTGAGATCATGACCTGAGCTGGAATCAAGAGTCCGATGCTTAACTGACCGAGCCACCCAGGCACCCCCAAAGCATGTTGTTTCTATAATGCATGCAACATATAAGCACACATGCACTCATATATCATGTAAAAGGGTTTGGATTAATAATTTCTAATATCCTGTCATTCTCTGATTCCATAGGGAGATCTTGGTAACAATTAGAGTAACAAATCGCAATGCGTGGCACTTCATAGTTTTATGCTTTCCTGCAGGGAGCCGTTCTCGTTCCGACCTGCTGAACAAACTTCTGAGGCGCATAGGGCGAGCACAACTTTTTCCAGAAGAGAAGAGAGATTAGGTGAGCTTAAGTGTCCAAAGTCACAGAGCTCTTAGGCACTAGAATTTGGGTTCAAATTTAGGTATTCAATTTTAAGTCTGGTGCTTTTTTTTTTTAAGTTGAAGAAAATTCCATGATTCCTTATGACCGTGCTCTCTTAAAAGCACCACCAACCTTCACACTAAACTTGGCTTCTGAGAATCTCACAGTTTCAGGAATTGTGTTCATCTTTTCAGCATTGAAAGGGTGGGCAGGTGGGATGAAACCTGCTTTCAAGGTGGATAACCATCAGCCCAGGTTAATGGTGCATCGGAGCTGGAGTGATCAGGAGCCGAGAGCAGAGGCTGGCGGGTCTGCCACCGCCCACAGCATCACGTTAGGCTGCAGCCGCCCGCACCTTCACTGCTGGGGCGCATTAATTTTGCTGCCCTTGCATTCATCCATAAACACTTTGATGTGGATGGACTTGGGTATGAAGTCACACTCTCTGACTCACTTCTACTTCAAAGAAACTAATTATGAATGAACTCACCAAGTATGTCAAAAAACTGGAAATCATTGACCATTCCTTGCTAACTTTTGCAAGAGACTCTTCTGGATATGATTACATGAAATACTGTGTGTGGAAGTATCTAGCTCCGTGCCAGGCCCATACTGGTCTTTCAGTAACCCATCATTTCTGAGCACCACTCAGGCTAGGCTTTGTTCTGGGTGCCAGGAAGAGAGCAGCGAACAAAACAGGTGAGGCTGCTGTGCCCACGAGCCTAGCTGGGGAAGACACAGAATGAACGAGTACCTGAACAAGAAGGTGTATCAGGTCTGAAAAGTGCTTTAAAGAAAATGAAACAGGTAACGTGATGGAAAGTGGCTGTGAATGACTTTAGGGTACAGTGGTCGGACAAGGTCTCAAGGACAACATGTCTTTCTTTGAAGGGCCAGCCATCCTGAAGGCTGCAAGAATTGCATGGGCGTAGCCTGGGAGGGACTGAAAGAAGGTAATGGGTTGGGGAAAGGAGTGCGGGTTATAGTCAACGGTGAATGGGTGGTTAAGGCAGAATGGCTTGATCTGTCATATAGGTCAGAGCTGACTCTAGCTGTTGGGTGGAAAATGGAGGGTCAGGGGATGTGTCTTAGCTCAGGCTGTTATCACAAAATACCATAGACTGGGTGTCTAAACAACAGACATTTATTCTTACAGTTCCAGGGGCTGGGAAGTCCAAGATCAAGGTGACAGCAGATTCAGTTCTTGGTGGCCCACTTTCTGGCTCACAGACCTGGCCTGTCATGTCCTCACATGACAACACAAAGTGTGAGCTCTGGTCTGCCTCTTCTTATAAGGACATTAATCCCATCTCGAGGTCTCTACTCCCCATGATCTCATCTAACCCTGACTACCTCCCAAAGGCCCCATGTCCAAACACCATCGCACTGAGGGTTAGGGCTTCAATGTGTGCCTTTTGGGGGAGACAAACATGCAGCCCATAACAGGGCAGGTGGAAGTGAGAGGCAGCTGCTGCGGAGGTCTGGGTGAGAGATGGGGGACCTGGACCAGGATGGGCAAAACTAAGTGGAGATACTAGATCCGGCTTGTCTTTTAGAGTCTGATCCCATGGAGTAGACCCTGAATAAACATTTCCACATGGAGCTACTTTTCTTCCTTTCCTCCCTTCCTCCCTTGCAAGCGCCCTACTTCATTTCATTTGTTGAGTTTTGGCATAAAATAATTGACATCTTTTGTGTGTGTGTGTGTGTGTGTGTGTGTTTTAAAGCACAGACGATAAGTGTATCCAAAGACGGGTCAATTCAAGTTGATCCAACAAAACTTTGTTGAGCATTGAAAACATACAACCTCTTCACCTCAGATGCTTTTTCTACTCATTTCAATTCAACAATAGGTTGTGATTGGCGGTTATGAGCTGGGCACCATCTTCAGTTCTGGAAGTTCAGATGAAAAAGACACAGATCTAACCCTCAACAGTCTCACAGTTCAATAATGGAGAAATATGGGCAAGGAAATAAAATATGACACAGGAGCCAAGTGAAACCCAGAAACATGTAAGGTACAGGGCACCTAAACAGTGCAGGGGCTGAGGGCAACCCTCTGAGAGAGGAACAGGGGAAAGCTTTCCAGAGCAGGTGCCTCCTGGCCTGAGTGTCAGGGAAGGACCATTCCCTGGGGGACAAGGAGGGTGTCCTGGGCCAGGGAACAGCATAGGCAGATGGATGCAGGAGCGAAAGAGCAGGGTTTATTTGGGGGAACCTAGCGCCCCTCAGTATTGCTGTGGCAAATGTAACAACAGAAGGAGAGAGGCTGTCAGCCGAAGTAGGACCCAGATCACAGAGGGCCTCATTTATTATGATGAACGAGCCCGCACTATATTCTGTTAGTGACAGGGCGTCAGAGAAATGTTTCACACAGGGAGACACCATCAGATTTCATTCAACTCTATGCATTCGCCAGCTGTTTCTTTAAAACACACAGACACGCACATCATTTGAGAACATTCGCAAAGGTGTGTGAAGGGGAGACTTTAAAAACATCTGGCTTCAAGGAAGTTATATAATTTGGAAAGGGCAGAGAATGAGGAGAGGAAAAATTCCAGGGGCTCAAGGAGAGATTCTCGGCCCCTTTCCAGCCCCTGGGAAAAGTCTGACGCGGGAAAAGCAGCCCGTCTGTTATGTCTGCAGGCGTCTGAGGCGAGCCCTGCTCCTCCACAGAACGGGGCGATTCATGCAGAATGTAAAGATGAGAGGTGCCCATTTTCCAGGGGCTGCGATGCCAATTCCAGTTGCAGTGAGAAAGTGACAGGAGCCGGGAGGCCTGGGGGTGCCAAGGTACACATTTCTAGTGGGCACACCATTAAGGCATCTAATAAAAAATCCTAATTGTGCTCCGAGGACTTTCAGAGACCTTGGCAGCCTGGCCCCGGGCGTGGGATGCGCAGCCTCCAGGCCTGGCTGAGCGTGGTGCCTCCCCGGCACCTCAGAGGGTCTCGAGGGGGGGCGTCAAAGTCTGCACCAAGGCACAGAATCAAAATGAACTTGAATTCCACTTTGATATCTTTTTTTTTGTAAAGATGCCCCATAAAACTCGGGAAAGGGGTTGCCACAAACTGCAGCTCAAGAGGATGGCATCACTCTGCCATTTCTACTGTGCATAATGAACCGGGAATGTCAAGGTTCCGACACGGAAAGAAATCCCTCCGAGGCTTCCAAATGTTGGCTTTTGGGCTTGCTTATAGGGACAGTAGGGGGTGCAGCCCTGGTCTTTGTAGTGGGTAGAGAGGCACAACGGAGCTCAGGGCATGGCTAGGAAATGAGGTGGGAATCATTATGGTATTTGGAACGAAAATACTTGAACATTCTCTATCTTGGCTGCTATAAAGATCTTATAAATCTGCACTGCCCAATTAGCTAGTTCCACCGCTGCTCGAACTTAAACTTGGGTTACCCACATTTCAAGTGCTCGATAGCCATATGTAGCTAATGTCTACCCTACTGAACAGTGCAGATCGAGAACATTTCCATCACGGTGGAAAGTTCTATTGGACAGTGCTGTTCTAGATACCAGCTTCATGGTGCTTTTCCCTCAGGCCATAGACTCTGACTGCTGTTTCATATATGGTTGTATGAGAGCAATAATTACATGAATAATAATAATGATGGTTCACATTATTGAGCTCTCACTCTATCGGGCCCTGTGCTAGAGTCTTTCCATGTCTGCCAGGTTGATCCATCGAGAAGTGGACTTTTTCTCTCATGGCTCTTCCCCCACCCCATCCCCAAATCCAAGAGGAAAGTGGCCATTGGCCCCTGCATATGGAGAGACTGCTGTTGCAGAGAGCCAAAAGCCAAAGTTGGCTGAAGACAACATACCTGCTTGTCTTTTGCAAGAAAGCTAAGCTCGTGGAGAAGATTGTGCTAGGTCTCCCGGAAGTGGGAGAGAGGGAGAATGAGGCAAGTCCCCCAGACTGGAAAGAAGAGAAAGGTCAGAAAGTCCTTTTTCGGGGTGGAAACAGAGCCCCACTCCCTGGAGCAGGGCTACTGGTAAGATTCCCAGAGGCGAATGGGAATGTCTGTGTCTCTAGGGAGGCGGGACCCAGGCCCTAGGTTCCCAGCCCTTGCAAAAGCTTCTCTGCCACAAGCATGACACAGACGCCCTGGAATCACTGAGCTTTAAGGGACGTCCAGCTGGACCACGACTTGACCTTCTGGTGCCTCTGTGCTTACCAGAAAAAGACACTCTTTCCGTCATATTGAATAATTTATCGCTGAGTTAGTATGTTACTGATAGGGGCTGAATTGTCCCTGCTACCGTTCACATGTTGAAGCCCTAACCTCCAGCACCTCAGAATGTCTGTATTTGGAGACAAGGCCTTTAAAGGGTGATTAAGTTAAAATGAGGCCATAAGTGGGACCTCATCCAATTGGACCGATGTCCTTATAAGAACAGAAAATTCAAACACACAAAAAGACAAAAGGAACCCGCAGGCCCAGAAAGACCCTGAGGGGGTGCAGCTAGGGGGTGGCCATCTGCAAGCCGAGGAGTGAGACCCCAGAGGAAACCAACGCTGCCAGAACTTGATCTTGGATTTCCAGCCTCCAGAGCTGTGAGAAAATAAAGTTCTGTTGCTCAAGCCACCCAGCCTGTGGTACTTTGTTATGGCAGCCCCTGCAGACCAAGACAATTACTATGCAGTCTGAAGAGCTCTCCCCGGGTAGTCTCTCCCGAGCCTGTGCTGGGCGCAGCCCGGACCGCGGGCTCACACACCGAGACTCTTCTGCGCATGTCCACACCGTACACCCGGACAGGTGCCGCGGGTCAGGGAAGAGAGCTGGTCAGGTTCAGAGGGAGGGGCATAGAGGACACACAGTCCTCGCAGGGCCTCCCAGGACTGTGGGTGGGGAAAAGAAGCGGCTGCTGGCGGGCGCCTGGGTGGCTCAGTTGGTTAAGCGACTGCCTTCGGCTCAGGTCATGATCCTGGAGTCCCGGGATCGAGCCCCACATCGGGCTCCCTGCTCGGCAGGGGGCCTGCTTCTCCCTCTACCCTCTTCCCTCTCGTGCTCTCTGTCTCTCATTCTCTCTGTCTCAAATAAATAAATAAAATCTTAAAAAAAAAAAAAGAAGCGGCTGCTGGAATGAGGTGGGGCAGGGTGCCGGCGACAGCGCGTGGGTGAGCTACTCCGTGGCACAGCGCTCCGAGTACCTACCGCTCCAGGACTCTGCCAGGAGGCTGCAATCTCCATGTCCACCCTTAGAGGAGACACTGCTGTGCAGTGCACTGCCTGACCCGCAGATGGGATGGGACCATGAGGAAAGGGGCAGCAGCAATGAGAGGCGGGAGGCCAAAGAGACTGGAGTTCCATCTTCTAGGCGAGACCCCACAGCAGAGACTTGCAGTGATATTTCCTACCAACCCAACGGAATGGGAGATTGGAAGCAAAGTTGATTTCCTTCAGCTAAAATAGATGACGTGGCCCTTCTTGCACGTTTAACGTTGTGAAATAAGATTCATACTTTATGTATGATTCAGAAGCAGGGTTCCAGCAGGAAACTGCCGGCATTCTCAAATGTAGTAACTAGGGATGAATGAATGGGATGATTTGCAAAGATGAGGCAGGGTTAAGAGAAACCAGCCAGAGACTCTGAGGCAACCTGGAGCTAGCCTCAGCTGGAATGGCCGCTCCCCAGCACCTGCTGGGGGTGTGGAGGGAGCAGTTTCAGGAAGGGCAGAAGCTCAAGGAGAGGGTCACATCTGCGTGCAGGAGCTATAGCCATCAGTGGAGGTGAGCGGCCATTGTCCAGCGGAAGCCTAGCAAGCAAGGAGCTGGGGGAATAAGTCCCCCAACCACATTTTTTCACCCTCTGACCTCTACCATAAGAATCCTCACAGTGGAGCCCAGCCAGAAGCCCGAAGTAGGGTGAGAAGGATAGAGACAGAAACTGGAAGGCAAACAGGACAATCCAGCACACTTTCTAAATGTGCATCTTTTCGTCTAGTCCTCCAGTGAGCCTCTCGTTGAACCCTTACTTATAGATATAAAAGTTTAGGCTTAGGGAAGAGGTTAAGGGTTTTTGTCTCACTAGATGTAGAATGGGGAGTGACCATGTTTGTCTTATATCCAGTTATATCCCCAGTGCCTAGAAAAGTGCCTGGAATGTAGTAGGTGCTGACTGCATGTTTGTTGAGTGACTAAATGAGTGAACTTCTTCAAGAGCACACAAGTACTATGTGGTAGTGTGGGATTTGAACCCAGACTGTCTGATGACAAAGCTCACAGGCCTAAGGATCACATCAATGTTCCTAAACCAAAGTCGATAGATCCTTATAAGTCTAAGAGTTTGCCAAGATAACTCCAAAACTTGGTGATTTTGTATCTTAATTTCAGTGATAGCCTTAAGAAGTAAATATTCGCATATCCTGGATGATCACCTATCCCATAAACAGAGACTGTTCTGAGATTTCAGTGCCCAAGTCTGTGTTTGCATTCACTATTATACTGGCACAAAATGGTACCATTGTAATTATCTTCAGCTGATGAGAAAGGAACATGGGTGGACTTAATTCCTAAGTGATTCATAAGTGATGCCTGTAATGCCGAAGGACACCATAGAATACCGTAAAAACAAGAAAAAGAGGGGTAGGGCTCACACAAAAGAACAGGCACCAGGGGATCAGAGCCAGTGCCTCCTCATAGTCAGTGATTCAGGTTTAATACAAACCCCATCTCTCATACTAATGTTATTCTGAATTGTACTGCTTATGCAGTTTTGGTTTTTTAAAATTCAGTTTGTTTATATTTGCATAGGAGTTTAAATATAATTTTATGCTTAGTTTTGGTCAAAATATTATTTAAATTAACTCTTTAAGTGGTTTTCTTTTTAAAATATATTTAGGCATTGAACAAGTACAGGAAATGCTACAAACCATGGTATGAACTGCTTGCAGCAAGAACCCAACAGAGGCAGCCCAGACTTAACTAGGGCTGTCTGGGGAAAGGGGAAAATTTTGATTCCCCCCAAAAGCTGGAAATACTTATTATTTATTGAGAATCTATTAGTCACTGCACTGAGTTTTTTTTTACATGTGCTATGGACTGAATTGTGTCTCCCCAAAATCATATGTTGAAGCCCTAATATGATGGTATTTGGAGATGGGAACTCTGAGAGATAATTAGGTTTAGATGAGGTCATGAGGGTGGTCCCTTATGATGAGATTGATGTCCTTATAGGAAGAAACACTGAAGAGCTTGCCCCCTCTGCCCTCTCTCTCTGAGCCATGTGAAGACACAGCAAGAAGGCAGCTGTCTGTAAGCCAGGAGGAGAATCCTCACTAAGAACTGAGTCTGCTGCCACATTGAACTTGGACTTACCAACCTCCAGAACTATGAGAAATTTAAGCCACCCAGTCTATCGTATTTTGTTATAGCAGCCTGAGCTAGTACAACAAGTATCATCTCAAATCCTCCTAACAATTTTGCAATGAAAATATTATTTCCCCATTTCACAGATGAGGAAGCTGAGGCTCAGGAAGGTATGTAACTTGTCCAAAGCACACTAGAAAGAGAACAAGGATTAGTTTATAAAGGTTTGTGAATAAAGGTTTATGGATTTTTTGAAAGCTCTCTAAGTCCTTACTGATAGGTGACAAGGGTTAGTCCTACCATCTATGGTGAATGTCATACTGTTAATACTGTTCCTAGACCCACATGGAGACAGTCCAGAAACGTCCTCAACTTTGTACTGATAGATATGTGGACCACTATTACTAATGTGGGTGTCAACTGGGGTGAACCTGACAGTTCAGCTTTAATTATTTTAAAATTTTGAGCATATTTGAGCCTAACTTCTCTTCCCATGGAAAAGCATTAGTGTGTGAACAGAAAGTGTTCTCTAGTCACACAGCTAAAACTTGGCTGAAGGAGGACTATGGCAGCTCAGCTTGGCATTGCCATTCTAACCCCTTGTAGTGATTCTCCGAACCCCAGCGGCTAATGCAGGGTGATAGACAGCATAACAGGTGACTTCACAGACAGAAGCAATTAATGACACAATCCCTTGTAGGTATATGGTGCTTCAGAGTCCGCAAAGAACATTCACATACGTCATCTCACATATAAACTGAGTCTCAAAAGGTTAAATAATTTGTTGAAGTTTCGAGTCCAGATCTTTAGAGAGACTCAAGGTCTGGTGCTCATTTTTGCTATTCTATTGGTTGCCCCAGTCTGGAGCGTGGGCTCCTCAGAGGCCATCGTGTGCTTGCAAAGGAATCTATACCAGCATATGCTTGAATTAAAGGAATGTAAATTTCATGAAGGCAGGGGTTCTCTAAGTGGTTAAAAGCCAGGGCTCTGAACCTAGATTGCTGGGTTCCATTAGCTAGCTGTGTGACTTGGGGCAAGTACCATAACCTCTCTGTGCCTAACTTAAAAAATGTGTATTAATATATAATATGTAATATTTCCTCATTTAAAATGTGTATTAATATAAAGTATGTAATAATTTATAGTAAATTAATAATACCTACATTATAGTGTTTTAGGAGTAAATTAATGAATATATATAAACCTTTTATAATGCTTAGAACAGAGAGTACATAGAAAGTACTCAGTATATGCCAACTATAATTATTACTACTCACCGCTGAGTTAGTCAGCATCTAGATTAGTGCCTGATAAATAGTGTACCCTTCAAATACCTGTCAGATGAACTAAATAAATATCTAACAGAGGACTCCCCCAAATAATATCATTCATGGAGAGGGAATCCTTAAAACAGTTTTACTTCAAAAAGTAAAAAGAACATACCTCCCTGTGACAGCGACATCTATCCTTGAATTGACAACATTTCTAGGTGACTTCACATAGCTGGAAGAAAATTAATCTCGAATCACTTTTGGCTTTTGTAAAACAATTTCACATGAGTGTCTAGCACAGTTTGGATGGCATCCAATAGGCCCTCACGAAGTATTTGTTGTTGATGATAAATACATTATTTTGGGTCTGTTTTGAGCAGGAACAAGGGCGAAAAGAGGATCCGTTTCTGGAAAATAATTTCTGCAGAGACTTGGCAAGAGGAACACAGAAGGCTGGTCTCAACATAACTGATACTGAATGAGTGTTTCTTGTTGAGTGTCCATCCTCATAGTAGCAGAAGCAGACTCTATCCTGAGAATGGAATTACAAGAGACTTTTTTCCCCCTTTCCAAGATCCAGGACCTCTGCTTTTCCACAGTAATTCAAGAACCAGGGGATTGGAAATAGAGGTGGGTTTTCACCTAAGTGAGAGGCATAGGCTGGGCATGCAGTGTATCCGCGCAACACTGTATGTCAGTTTACCCAGAAAGCCCTCAAACTGCGCCTCCCGTGATTCAGAAGAGACCATAACTCTGGCCAGCAGTGATCACAGATGTATGTGAGCAACTTTTCTAAAATCAAGAAATATTGCAGCTCAGGGAGTTTTTTGTTTGTTTGTTTGTTTGTTTTGTGGAGTGCTGTTTCTCTCTTTGCAATCAACGTTGCTTCCCTTTTCTTCTTAGACATTTTTGACTTTTATGAATTTACGTAGAAAATTACATTCTCGGAGCAATTGGAGTTCCTCCTTCCAGGATGGATTTGACCCTCCTGCCCTCCCCCACTGGGAATTTTCCCTGCGACAGGTTTGCAAAAAAGCACTTGGGGTCTTTTCAACACACGGTGACTGTTCACAAGGCACAATTGTTTGTCTTCAACTTGGAATTCCTCTCCACTGAGCCAGGAACAAAATCAAGGCGACAGAGGCTCTAAAATTCAGACAGGAAGTTCTGCCCTTTTGACCTGGGAAGCCAAGAGGAAAGTGAGGAGGAAGACGATAAAGAAAAAGCCCAGGAGGAGGTCTGATATCTGCACCTCTTATAGACCTTCTACGTTTTCCCAACAAAATTGTTTAAGGTAGTGGTGGTCTTTTACAAGACTATTGATGAGCGCCAAGTGAGCCCTGAGACACTCCCCTGTCCTGCCCCCCAGCTCCCATCCAGGCAGGCTCCTGGTTCTAAAACCCTGTGCATAACTATAATCAAGGCAAGTAGTTCGAAGAGCCAGGGAAAGAAACTCAGAGAAGAGTTGTGTGCTGTAGCCGTTCCAACAGAGAAGTACTTCCATACTCCAGGCTCCCATTTCCCACCTTTCTGCTCCCCCTCTACACATTCACGTCTTCTCCCTTCCTTCCTGTGTGGTGGCTCTGGCCCTGTGCCTATTTCTGGCTTGCTTGAACCTGCACCTCCTGCAATCCTTCCTCCTTCCTCTGTTCTTCCCCAGCCATCCCCTCCAAATCGATGGAGCTTTATTTAAACCACTTGTGTTCCATTTCTTTTCTTTCATTTCTATCATTTGTCCTCAGTGAGATTTTGAGAAACAGCATCTCCTCCCTGTGTGTTGCATCAGAAGCTACTGTACAAATTGTGGTTTATTAGGCTCACCGGTTACACATCCGGGGAAATGTTCCATCCACACCCAGGATAAACTAGGCTAAGATGAAATCCATCACCTCCACCCCTCCATCTTCTCACCTCCTCTAGGGCTTCTCTCGTCCTCCTTCTCCTCACCTGCCTGGTACCCCCAAACCAGATCTCTCCCTCTCCCCCTTCCCCCAAGGCCTATTGATATCACTGCAACACCTTTTAAGTGTGATTCTTCCTCTCTGTTCTCCTTGCCCTGCTTCAAGACCTGATCATCTCTCATGATCCTGAACTGTTTTCATACCTCCTGATCCTGCTTCAGCACCTTCAGTTCCTTCCCATTCCCATCAGACTCAACTCGCCAAAACACACATCTTACCACACTGCTTCCCTTATTCAAAAATCTTCAGCGGTGCCCTGTTCCTAAGGGCAAGTCCACATGCGACAGCCTGATTCAAGGCTCTTCGCCGCCTGGCTCAAACCCACTTTTTCTTTCTTTCTTTCTTTCTTTCTTTCTTTCTTTCTTTCTTTCTTTCTTTCTTTCTTTCTTTCTTTCTTTCTTCTTTCTTTCTCTCTTTCTTTCTTTCTTTCTTTCTTTCTTTCTTTCTTTCTTTCTTTCTTTCTTTCTTTCTTTCTTTCAGATTGTGTTTTTTTTATTAGAGAGAGAGCATAAGCAGGGAGAGTGGCAGGCAGAGGGGGAAACAGGCTCCCCGCTGAGCAGGGAGCCCAATGTGGGGCTCGATCCTAGGACCCTGGAATCATGGCTTGAGCAGAAGGCAGATGCTTAACCATCTGAGCCACCCAGGCGCCCCTCAAACCCACTTTTCTTGTCCCATCTCCCATCACATGCTAGGTCCTGGGTCACCGTGCATTGAATGAAAAATGTTTTGTCTTAAGATGTTTTGTCCCACAATTGTTGCAGCAGGGGTTCATGGCCAGGGCTCCAAACTGAAAGTACATTGGCTCCTGACCCAGCTAAACACTGAGGTATGACTGCCCAGAGTTACTCATCTGGGACATTGCCAGGCCCCTAATACTAACTAGCTGTGTGACCTTTGGCCAGCCCCCACTTCTTCAGGTCTAGGTTCCCTCAATAGTACCATGAGGCCCAGATGACTTCAAAATTTTCTACTTAATGATGATGGATAAGATGTGCCGACCCTCTGAGCCAGACTTCATGGGCTGTGGTACATTGCCACATTGGCCCAGGTACTAGCCCTGGCCTCTCAGTTCTGTCTGAAGCCATCATCCCATTTAGGGATGAGATCAGACCCTGGGAGAACTGACTCATACTGCAGCCTCAGACAAGTCAGATTTGTACCAGAAAGCTCCTTTATGAATATGCAGTTGCAAGAAAACTTCCATCTGCTCTTCAGAACATCTTCTCCCTAGAGTAATGGTACATGCATGTTAATATATTATCTAGATTTTTTTTCTTGTTAAGTAAAATTAGTTATCAAGAGATTGCCTGGGCATATGGATTCAGAATAAGAAAAGCTCATGGTCTAGAGTCCCGTGTTTCCAGACTGTGATAGGACCTGATGAGTTCCTTTTGTTCCAAGTATCTGCTAGGAGCATTGGATTACAAGCAACAGAAACTGATGTTGGTTGCATAAAGCAAGAAAGGATAATTGGGAGGTTCCTGACTAGCTCATGGAGGTCTTCCCTGACCATGAGTCTGAAGTAGCCTTCCCAGCCGGTCGCCACCACATCACCCTACCTATTTCTTTCATAGCACTTGTCTAGTGTGAAATTATCTTGTTTACTTGTTTGTCATCGGTCTTCCTCATTAGACTGCTTGATCCACGAGGGCAGGGACATTGTTATTCCTGTTTGTAGCTCTATCTCCAGAACCTAGGACAGTGTCCAGCATACATGGTATGCTCAGAGAGATTTGCGGGGTGAAAAAATGAGTAGAAAGAGCTGAAAAATTAAGCCCTAGGAATTGACTGGAGATGGAATGACCAGTAGCAGGAACCTCTTATTTTGTAGGTAGTACCATGAATGACTTAACTCCAACTACATTTTTCTTTCCATGTTTTTGCTCTAGGTTCCATGCATAGGATAGAGAATTCAGGTGGCCCAACTAGGATCACATGACCACCCCAGAGGCTGTGATGTTGGAGTCTTGGGATTGGTTGCACAGCAGTGCCTCACATGGAAGAGAGAAGGGCAGATCCTCAAAGAAATGGTTCCCAGGCAGACATCCATTGCCTTCAACCACGGTGATCATTTTTCTTCGAGACCTGTCAGTTGATATGGCAATTCTGCTCCCTAAAGATATCTCCATAATACCTTATTTGTCAATTATCACTTTTCCTGTCTCCATGGGCTCCACCTAAGCAGGTCTTACCCACTCAAAAATCTCACCTGCTCAAAGGAGACAGACAGACTCACTCTGCTAATGTGATCTATGTACTCTGCCTAGCATATCCCAGTACATCTTTTTGTACATTTGTTTCTTATTTTTTAGCCCATGAATAAAACATACATCTACTTTACATTTGAAAAATGTGTGCTTTCACTTAACCCAAAGTCCTTGTTTTCTGTAAACCCACATTCAGATGACTTTGTTGTGGCTAATACTATTAGTTGTCTACCCAATAGCCACTGAGGGCTGCAATCCACCCAGTCCTAGGGATGAATCCTAATGGAAGCCCCTAACTTCTTTACCCGTAATTGGACTAGAGGTGACATGTAAACCCAAATCTGGGCTGTGAGAAAAATGCAAATTCTGTTGGGGACTTCTGGAAAGATTTTCCTCCCTGAGAGGGTCACAGGGAGAAAAGGGTTTCTTGTACCTTGTAGCTTTTCCTCATTCTTCCTTCCATCCTTCTTTTTTTTTAAATAACAAACTCTTCCTCCCTTTTTGATGGAGATGCTTTCATGTAGAGATATGACAGTTGGAGCTGTGGCAGCCATCTTGCAAGTATGAGGTGATAAATGTAAGAACAAAATGCAGGAAATGGTTGAGTAGAAGAAAGCAAAAGCCTGAGTCCTTGATTGCACTGTTGAAGTATAGAAATCAACCCTCGATTTCTTAAGTAAATAACACCCTTTGTCGGGCCCACTGTAACTTGTAGTTGAAAGCATTCCTACCCGTTAGACCTGTGACAAACAACTCCTTCTTCATCTTAATGCTAACTTCTTGGCTTTATCACACTAGAGATGCTTCTGTTGTGTAGTAGTGGGGTTTTACTTAGCATTAGTGCAAAAGTTAGGTCTAAGGAAGAGCTTAAAATTTCACTGTGTTTTGTTATAAATGCTTCTCATGATTTATATCTATTTCTTATGAAGTGATTATTATGAATACCTACTTGAAAGAATACTATGACTATTCATACAGATATCTTACATGTAAAAATATGTTACCTAAATTTTTTATCAATTTCACATTACAATTTAATAGACTCCAACCTGTGGTAATTTCAGAACTTCTATACAGAAGAGGCTTAAAAGTGGCAATTAAAAGGGAAGTGGGGGTGCGGTCTTGAAAGTGCATTTGCGTCGCACTTTTAAGATTGAAAAGCGATTGTCCATATCATGAAACAGATGGAGCTAAGGCAGTCTCAAGCACCCCCATCTGCCCCCCATTGCTAGTATACCTTCCACGCTCAAAACCAACTGCTTAAGGAATATGACTTCCCTCCTGGAAGTCAAGGTATCAGTTTTGAAGATCTTACAGCATGGGTCTTCAAGACTAGAAACCCAGTGGAATAATATGACTTTACATCTGTGTTGCCATTGATGCCGACCGAATCATTTCACCTTGCAACACTGGATTATCACTAGCATTTCCCATAAAAAGAGATTCAGGCGCAGAGGGTTTAAATGACTGCTCAAAACACACAGCTAGCCAGCAAAACCAGCTCTACAACTCTGGTGTCCTGATCCTTACTCTTCCTACTGCATCAAGTGGTTCTCAGCTGAGGGATGGGGTCTTTAGGATCTAAAAGAGTATGGCTAAAAAGGAAACTGTCCTGGCCCATTCAAAGGAGGCTTTTTTAAGAGCACACCTTTTCTTACCAGAGAAGAGGAACGAAAAACCAGGGGGCTTGAGGGGGGAAGGGGGTGGTCCAATCACTCAACAGATTTGGAAGGCTACGGATTAAATACCCGCCTTCATGTTATCTCCATGTATTCCTCTAGAATATTACCTGTCTTCCATCCCATAGTTGCCTAAATGACACAGACCAGTCTTATCAGAACAAATACACCAGAAGGAACTTCAGATCTTGGAGCAGAGAGAAGGCGTGTGCAGACCATATGTATCTCTTTGTACAAGTGGTTTGGAGGGGAATGTTTCTAATTCCTCTAGAGGAGTGGGATCTGAGGGAGGGTTTCTGTGTCCCAAAGAAAGGGAAGAGTGTCTTCAGGAGCAGGTTCATAGACCAAGTGAGCAGAGGGTTTTGAGTCAAAGTCAGCCCTGGATTTCCAAGCCCAGAGGAAAACTAAGCTCCAGAAGAGACATGGGAAGTTAAGACAGGGCCAGAATGGGAGCAAAGGGAAAAGAAAGCAAAAGGAAAACTCATGTTGACAGACTGACTGAAAAGTTTTATATATAAATGTGAGGAGAAGGAGATTCTGACTTCTCAGATCAGGACCAGGGCAATGATGTAATCCGCATACGTGAGACACAGTGGCCTGGCAGACATGCCAAGCATGTGGGCTGAAGAGGCCTGGGTTATTCCAGGTTGTCATGGTTTTTAGCCAAAAGTAATAGAACCAGGCAGGAAAAGCAGGCAGCCTTATGCTTCAGGGATGTCCACACACACTCTGAGGTGCAGGACAAAGGAAGCTTGTTCATTCACTTACCATATTGAACCACGGTAGAGTGTAACCTTTAAAAGCACAAAATTTGGAATCAGACAGACTGGAGTTTGAGTCTTAGCTCCACCATTTACTTGCTGTGTGGTTTTGACAAAGTGACTTAACCTCTCTGTGCCTCATAATCCTCATCTGTAGGCTCATCAGAGCACCTAATTGATAAGGCGATATGAGAATTAAATAAGATGTATTTTGAAAGGTGCTCAATCTTAACCTACTCTTTTTCATAGTTAAGTATATATTGAGGTAAACAGCAGAGGAATAAAAGAGGAGAGGTAAACACTGATTTTATACACATAATAAAATGCCAGCCAATAAATGAATGGGAAAGAAGTGAAGACTAAGAACAGGGTCTGGACCATCAGTGATCGAGAAGAAAGCAGATGTACTTGTCCTGAATGCTTCCACTGAGGAAACTTTTGGTTTGTATTAGATTTGGATCAGGTGAGAAATTTTGACCCTCCTAACTACCACCTGGAAGGAAAAAAGAAGGTGACGACACAAATTTTCAAATAAGTGCTGGAATGTGCAGATAATTTCTTTCTTTATAAAAACAACATTGTAACATTTTTAAGACCACTCCAGAAAGGGTTGTACCACTTACTAACTGCATGACCTACGGCCAAGTTATTAAATTTCCTCGCACTTTCTTTTCCCCATCAAGAGTAAAGTGGGGGTAATAACAGTACCAAGTGCATAGGGCTGAAGTGAGGACCAGTTCAGTGAATAAGCATAAGGCTCTTAGGAGAGAAGGAGAAGTTGCAGAGTCTTAGCCCACGTATACCCCATCGCAAAAGCAATCCCTGCATTGTGCAAGCATTACCCACTCACCCACTGTCCTTCTATCCAGTAGTGGCCACATTTACTATTTTGTATGAATTCCTCAGACCTTTTTCCATGCACACATAGTCATGTAAATATTCATTTGTTTCTCACAAAAGGGATCATTATGTAATATTTTCTTATGATCAGCTTTTCCACCTCGTAGCATCTGGTGAAGGTCTTTCCATTGGTCAGCCTCCACCGACTTCGGGGATGATCATCATTGGTCCTGAGGTTCTCAGCAGGGTCAGTCCCAGTTTCAGCTGCTTCTTCTCATCTCCTGCTCCTTCTTGCTCTCCCAACCATGCCTGGCACCTCTGCTCGCTCACCTGCCACCACCTTGTGGGTTCTCCAGGCCTACTGGCCCCTTAATGTCATGCAGCTCCCCCAAAGGAGGGCCCAGTCAGGGAAGTCTAACTTCTGTTTGTTGCCCACCTCTCAGTTTCCCAAAACAGCACCAACCAAGTCTGTGCATGGTTAACAGACTTTTTGAAGGGTTAAAAATAAGAAATGAAATGTCGAGAGGAAAATAAAACCTTAAAATTTGTTGTTAACTCTGTTTCTTGAGTCCAAGCCAGGGGGCAATACACCCCTCATAAGGAATTCCTTCCTTACCACACCCCATCCCCACTCTGGCCCCCCAGTTTTCTGGCTGGAAACAAGCTTCCTCCTTGTTCCCCTCTGCCCTGTCCACAGCATTACCCAGGCAAACTGGCAACCCTTATGCTAAGTTCAACCATCAGAGGTGGTTTGGCCAGAAAGGTGCTTAAAATTTTCTTTTGAATGAGGTGTCATCATTTGAAAACCAGGAGATTTTATGGAAGGAAAACTTCTAAACTCATTTTATGAGGCCAGCATTACCTTGATCCCAAAATCAGACAAAGACCTCATCAAAAAGGAGAATTACAGAACAATATCCCTGAAGAACATGGATGCAAAAATTCTCACCAAAATACTAGCCAATAGGATCCAACAGTACATTAAAAGGATTATTCACCATGACCAAGTGGGATTTACTCCTGGGCTGCAAGTTTGGTTCAACATCCGCAAATCAATCAATATGATACAATACATTAATAAAAGAAAGAACAAGAACCATATGATCCTCTCAATAGATGCAGAAAAAGCATTTGACAAAGTATAGCATTCTTTCTTGATTAAAACTCTTCACAGTGTAGGGATAGAGGGCACATACCTCAATATCATAAAAGCCATCTATGAAAAACCCACAGCGAATATCATTCTTAATGGGGAAAAACTGAGAGCTTTCCCCCTAAGGTCAGGAACATGGCAGGGATGTCCACTCTCACCACTGCTATTCAACATAGTACTAGAAGTCAGCGATCAGACAACAAAAAGAAATAAAAGGCATCCAAATCAGCAAAGAAGCAGTCAAACTCTCACTTTTTGCAGATGATATGATACTTTATGTGGAAAACCCAAAAGACTCCACCCCGAAACTGCTAGAACTCATACAGGAATTCAGTAAAGTGGCAGGATATAAAATCAATCCACAGAAATCAGTGGCATTTCTACACACCAACAAGACAGAAGAAAGAGAAATTAAGGAGTCGATCCCATTTACAACTGCACCCAAAATCATAAGATACCTAGGAATAAATCTAACCAAAGAGGCAAAGGACCTGTACTCAGAAAACTATAGAATACTTATGAAAGAAACTGAGGAAGACACAAAGAAATGGAAAAACATTCCATGCTCATGGATTGGAAGAACAAATATTGTGAAAATGTCTATGCTACCTAGAGCAGTCTACACATTTAATGCAATCCGTATCAAAATACCATCAACTTTTTTCAAAGAAGTGGAACAA